CATATATTTGAAGCTTTAAACTCATCAAGCAAAAAAAAGAAATTTTTGCCTGCAATTTTCAATAAGACCTAGATATTGATTGAGGGCAAACTTATAGAGAAATCTGCAAGTCACTAGAAGATCAACACAAGAAACCATGGGCTTATGTCTATGAAATAGCTATGTTTTCAAATCCTCACCTATTACACTTTGGTGTATCCAAAGTTACAGGGGTAAGATTAATACAGTTGAATGTCATATACAAGTCCCTTTTGCCAGCTGAATCACACCTGGACTCCACTCCCTACTGGCCAACATATCCACTTCCTTACAGAATATGCTCCAGTAGCACTGGGTAAGCTTTGGCAAAAGTGCCCATCAATCATTCTTCTTGCTGTTATGAGCTTTGTCTTGAGCACAAATGCCTAGTTTCAGCTGATCCTTACAATTGTAAGTATCTGGAAATATCATCTAGCATTTTGACTTTCACATTCAGTTTTAGCTAGCATTTGACTAATAGATAGGTCAACATTGTCAACTCGATTGTCGAAGACTATCTTAAACATCGGATTGGCTCCCACATGTGGGGCACTCAACATGGGTGAAGTCAAATTCATGGATCCATCTAGAGGTTGTTCGTGTGCAACTTGGCGACAGATAACATACATACATGGGATAAAGTTCCTGCAAAACCCTGTGATTGAAAGAGCTACTAAATATACAATAGATGACAATTTCTAATTGGCTATGATGAATTAGGTAAATATTCTATGTTCAAGTTTCATAAGTATTCATATTTTCATGTAAAAGTTAGTTCACTGAACTGATAGTATGCTGACATCCTTAACTCCACGCACATTGACATGAACATTATGGGTAGAATTGTTGCTCACACTAGGATAAACATTGAGAACACTATAAGTTCTACCATCATGAATACCATGGAAAAATGCTTAGGCATCCTGATATATCACATCCCTACTTCAAGGTTAGTAAATAACTTCCAAGGGGTTATTCCTTTTCTTGAACCTCTTGTTTCAGGTCTACTGTATCTGTTGATCAACACATGAAAGTAAAACAATTGATATTTCTGGAGGTATTGCTTGTTGATTTGTCCTCCCAACGCTACATTAACTTTTGTTGACTCATTTGTAGAATTCAACATGCGAAAATTTAAACCCAGAGACAGTGTCATAGATCAGCTCACCCCCAACGCGACACATACTGCAGTGTGCGGTGTTGAATGCATGTTTAATCCTAAGTAACTGACAGCTAGTTTCAGCCATAACATTGCTAAGCACAAACCCATCACTTCGAAGAACAAATTTCTTCCGAAAGCTGAAGAGATGTTTGCTCCATAATATTGTCATGAAGAATGCGTAATAAACAACCAATGTTGATGTGGCGCTCCACGTGGGTTGGCAGCGCGCTACGTCATCGGCTACCATTTCTTAAGTTGTTTGGGCAGATCTTTCTCTTGAAAATGCTTTGTTGATTCTCCGAGAAATCACTTTTTTGTAGATCTGTTGCACCAAAGAGCAAGCGATACAAGACTAACCCAGCAAGCTGGACGCCGAATTCCGCACTGGGAGCTCGATCAAGGACCGCGACAACCTGTGGCGCGGGCAACAAGAGCAGCTCCCAATCGAAGCAATGACCAGGGAAACACTTTTATAGCTCATTGATCCGGGAGGTGCTGGGACAGGAAGCGCTTCTACAACTCGTGCATCGGGGAATCGAGAGATTTCTCCAGAGATTTCTCGCTGGTGCTCGCGGCATTCAAGGCTTGCAGCTGGTGCCTCGGGCGGTGCTCAATGTTTCTTTTTGGTTGTTACATCGGCAGATGGAGCTTGTGATTCCCAAGTTAGGGCGGATGAAAAAGCGCATTCGGAGCCTTTTTCTGCGGAGAAGCATTAGCACAGCAATCACGCAGGGCCGATTGTTTGCGCCACTAGGTAATGTTGATATTAACTTCGCTTTTTGCATTGCATGGTTTGGCACAATGGATGAAAATGGAAAACCAAGAAGCTTGAATGGATTAAAGTACCATAATTGGGGAGTAAACGATGGTCAAGCAGGGCACAGAGCTCATGGAACATGGATCCTAGGGCAAGCGGCGCACTGCGGGATCGCTCATCCATTCACGAGGTAAGAATCATCTTTAGCTTGGGTGGATTTGGCGCTGGAGTGTCTTGTTTAGCTCACTCTAGGAGAAACCATTCGGTCTCTCTTGCGACTTCTTTTGCTTAAGACGCGCTCATATTTTTCTTTCCTTCTCTTGTGTAGCTTAAAAAAAAATGGAAGACTCTGCTAGCATGCATCGTCAACAACAGCAGCAACTTTTCTCGTCAAGCTGGGCCTCACCTCCGCACTGTAGAACTTGGCGGACCTCAAGCTGAGAGCCACGGCGATGGCACACCCAAACAAACAGGTGGCGCCCATGACGAAGAACGTTTCCCTGTAGCACTTGGCACCGTCGCACAAGAGCGAGGCCTCCAGCGTGTCAGGGCCCCGGTATCTCCTGGCTTGCCGATCGTAGAACACACCCGCAACTTCCACCGACAGGACATACGTCCCAATCCCCTTTGCAACGTTTGGGAAGCTCTGGAGAACTCCATAGTGCTTGAGCCCGAAGATCTCCGCGATGATGGTCGACAGCACCGCCCACTGGCCTCCGGTGGCGAGCCCGATGATGGTGGAGCCGATGTACAGCGCGCCGGGAAGGCCCAAGGCGATGAGCAAGTTGCCGAGCGCTAGAAAGCCGACCACCGCAGCGAACACGAACGGCCGTCCAATGCCAAACTTGTGGAGGAGTATCTCGGACACGAAGCCGCAACCGATTGCTCCCAGGAAGTCCCAGAGGTTGAGGAGAGCCACGAAGATGTTCATCCTTGCGGTGGAGTATCCCAGGGAGGCGCTCAGCTGGCCCAAGTTGTTGTAGAAGGTGGACACGGTTCCCAGGCCGCAGGAAGTCGCGATGAGCATGAGCCACATATCGATGCTCAGCAAGGCGTGGACGAGTCTGTAGTCCTTCCCTCTCGCTGGAACTTGGAACCATCTGTGGATGCCAGCGCCGGAAGCTTGAGAAGGAGAATGGTCGACGACTTGCAGAGAAATAGGCGTGGAATTCATATCCGCGAGCTGAGCTTCAGAGTTATGAGATGGCGGTATGCTTTCGACAGCACCAGCACTGTTCGAATGTGATCGAATCTTAGCTCGGACAACCAGAGCAACTGGAAGTAGGACGATGAGCAGCATCAAACCAAAGAACACCAAAGGCACCGAGTCTGGAAGCCTGCTTGTCATGCTCCCCTCGATGACTGTGATGACGAGGAGATAGGCAGCTAAGGCAAAGGTGGTGACGAGGAACGAGCGGAGAATGGACTTGTCGCTGGACTTCTCGATGACAGGCACGGGCCCGAGGAAGAGGCCAAGCAGCAGATACAGGAACGTCGGTAGCAGCCCCAGGAAGAGCAGAAAGGAGCGAGCGTGGAACTGGAAGAAAGTCTGGAACACAACCGCGAATGCGGTTGCTCCCAGGCCATTGCTGCCGTCGAGCAAGCTCAGCAGCATCCCCTGGTGGTGTTTCGGGAAGTTTGTGGCACAGGTGGTCAGAACAGCCGTGACTGCAAAGCCTACAGAGGCGCCGACGAGAAACATATAGAAGCTCATTTGCCATGCCGGTGGACGAGCAATCTGGTGAGTGATGGCGAGCCAGGCCATGGTGTAGCCGAACAGGTTGAGCAATGCGGAGACGAACATGGTGAGACGGGGGCCGACTCTCGCATTGAGCAAACCGGCCAGGAAAGCCATGCTAGTGCCGAGATCCTTGAAGAAGCTGATGGTATTGACGGACTCTTGCTTGTAATGCAGGGAGATTTTGAGCTCCTGTGAGAACAAGCTGAAGCTGGTGAGCGTGCCTCCGGTGATTGCTATCAAGTAGAAGCCCGAGACTGCGACGATCCAGCGATTGCTAGCGATGGAGAAGAGTTCCTTGGCCATTGCTAGCGCCATTGCTGCCAGCTTTGTGGACCGCACAAGGTAACGAGAAAGCTCTTCAGAATCATGGTTTTCATGCCTTTATATCTTGTTATAATTGCAGTCCATGTGACGCTCTGACTCGAGCCGTCGCTTGCTCTTTGAAATGGCAAGCTTCTTCAAGCAGAGAGTTTAACATAAACTTGGCAATAACGTAGTTTCGTGGCTAAGTTTTCTATGCGCAGGTCAACTAAGTTGAGCGTTGACTGCATTTTCCATACCAGTGACAGATTAGCGTCCGCATTTGGCCCCAGATGCGAACGCTAATCTGTCATTGAGGCGGAAAAGTCTACAAATTGGTCTTGAATGGAGGCGGATCCATGGAAAGTTCGTGCAAATCGTAACGATCTTAAATTCGTACTGCCAAATAGAAATCTTAGTTTTTTGCAACTATATAAGCAGGGCACTGGAAGGACACTGATATCCGCATCTCAAAGTTGAGAAAGCCTAGCATCCAAGCATACATTTCCATTTCCATCTTTCGTCTTCCAAGCTTTCTTGCTTACACAGTCCCATCCATGGCTGGCATCAAGGCATTTGTTGACAGCTGCAACGGGACACTGTCGAGCGTTCCAGAGAGATACATGATGCCGAATGGAGCTGCCGATGTCTCCCGGTACGCGGTGCTGCCGATAGTCGATGTGGCGAGCGAGAGCTTCGAGAGGGATCTCGTTGACGCTTGCACAAAGTACGGAATGTTCTACGTAAGTTTTGATGAGGTGTCTTTTTCCTGTAGTACATGTTTGCTAAGTTGTTGTTCTTCTGACTTGCAGCTCAAGAACCACGGAATTCACACCGAGGATGTGATGAGGTGCGCTCTCGAGTTCTTCAACTCGCCCAGCGAGGACAAGATGCGGTACTACACCGAGGAGATCTTCACACCCGTCCGCTACTGCACCAGCATGATGCCTTCGAAAGAAGAGAAGCTCGAGTGGCACGACCACCTCCAGATGTGGCTCAAGGAAGAGTCCCTCGGAGCGCACCCCTGGCCCGCGTTCCCAGCCAGCTACAAGTCAGTTTCTCGCTCCTTGATTATGGTATTGCTCTAGATTGCTGACGCTCTATATGCAACAGGGACGTTGGATCCGAGTACGCCAGAAACATCTTCAAGCTCGGGAAGAGGATGCTGTTGGTCATGTCCGAGGGACTTGGCCTCCGCTCAAACCGTCTTCTGGAAGCATTCGCAGAGATGGTTCTTCTGACGAGAGCAAACTTCTATCCGGCTTGCCCAAACCCGAGGCAGGCCTTGGGCATGGAAGGCCACACCGACAGCGGCGGCCTCACGTTTGTGCTCCAGGATGGAGTCGGGGGATTGCAGCTGAAGCAAGGCGAGGATTGGTACAACGTGAAGCCACTCGAGGGAATGCTGGTGGTCAACATGGGCGATCAGCTAGAGGTACGAGCAGTCGAAAAGTTTGTGGAATGATCCTAATGTTGTCCTTGGTTGGTGATCTCAGAAGCTGAGCAATGGGAGGTACAAGAGCATATTGCACAGGGTGATGGTGAACTCGAAGAGTTCGAGGCTGTCCGTCGGGGCGTTCCTGGGGCCGTCACTGGATGCGGAGATCAGCCCCATTCCAGAGCTGGTGAGCCAGGAGAGTCCGGCAAAGTACCGCAGCAGGACTTACAGGGACTACATGCCCACCAAGCTCTCGTATTTCGACAATATGCGGCAGCTCCAAGCAACAGCCAAGGTGCTCTCCATCACAAAGGTAGCGAGTGAGTTTTCTAGCTAGGATGTTTAGATGAAGTCCTCTCCTCATTCTCCAGGATTCTGAGCGAGTAGCCATTGTTTCGGATCGGACAATCTTGTATCCTCAAGGAGGTGGACAGCCCGGGGACAGAGGCTCCATTTCGAGCTTGAATGGAGACACTACATTCCAAGTTCAGGACACAAGGATGAAGAATGGAGTTGTAAGTTTTCGTTGTGTTTCTTCTCAGAGGATTTACTGCTTCACTCTTGTGCTGTCTGTAGGTCTATCACTATGGTGTCTTTGAGCCATCAGACTCTACTTTCGAAGCTGGCCAGGAAGTCAGCCTGAGAGTTGAGTCGCAACGCAGGGAATTACACTCAAGGTGCAACACAATCTACAAGCAAACCAGTACCTATCCAGTTTTTCTTTCTTTATTTTTTCGAGAACAGGTTGCACACCGCGGGGCACTTGATAGATGTATGCATGAAACTTGTGGGACGGACTTTGGAGCCGGCAAAAGGAAACCATTCTCCAGAGGGGTATGACTTTCGATTCTCAACTTTACACTTTGCAAAGCTTTTCTTTCCGGGATAGAGCTTTTGTCGAGTACATAGGAGCAATTCCGAGCGGTGAGATAGAGTCGACTCGTGTTGCCCTGCAGAAAGAAATTGATCGTTTGATAGCAAGTGGTGCTTCGGTGAGTTGTGCTATGCCGATGCTTTGTGTTTGTTCTTATTCTTTTTGGTGCCAGTGTATTTATTCGTGCTAGTACTACAGGTAAATGCATCTGTGCTACCTTATGACGAGGCTGCTGGCTTGTGCGGCGGGAGCCTTCCCGATTACATATCCAAGGTATACACTATGAATTGGATACAACTTATGATCTTTGTATCTGACCTCCAATGTTCAAATGCCACAGGATAGCAGTCCCAGAATCGTGAGGATCGGAGATCACACGGGATGCCCCTGCGGTGGCACTCATGTCGACGATGTTAGCTCACTCACGGGCTTGAAAGTAAGCGACTTCGAAAGAAAGAGCGTCAAGAGGTTTTGAGCTTACATATGTTGCGCGCTTCACAGGTGACGCAGATCAGAGTGAAAAAAGGAGTGACAAAAGTTAGCTACACGCTGAAATGATCAGAAGCAACCGGCAAGATGTTTCGGAGATATTTGAATCGTGTTACAGTAAGCTCTGTGCGGTTTCGTGTCATGGTTTCTTGTGTTGATCTTCTCGTGACTTGCAGATTTCTCTATGATTCTCGAGAGCTTCGCCCTTGATCAATATCTCCTCCGGGTTTCAGGTCTTGCTGAAAACCGCAGAGATATTTCTCTCAGTTCGCTATTGATGCTCACAAAATCAGATTTTAAGTACTTTTGCTGATAGATGGCATTGTGATTCATAGTGTCGGACTTACTTGATCTGCCGTGCAATGACGCAGGCACCGACGCACCAAAAGCACTCTGTGAGATCTAAAAGAAATGGAAAGACAGAGAGTGGACACCTGCTGGAAAAGACTAGTCGCTAGTGCGTTTCGCTCAATTGCTTTTCGTGTGTTTGGATAGCAAGCCTGCTACTTTTTACTCCACAGTTCTTACGATGAATATAATTCCTTGTGATAGTCATACACAAGCATCATTCTGGGTATAATCGTGCAATTCTATATTAAACCATATAATCATCCCAATCCGAATGCTGAAAGTTCATATACTTCGCGATCATCCTTTTGAACATTCGAATGAATTGTTCCACAAGACTATCTGATTGTGGATGATAAGCACTCGTGAAAGTGTGGCGTATCCCCAACTGAGATGTCAAAACATAAAATGCTTTAGCCATAAATGTGGGATCATTATCCTAAAGAATTTGCTCTGGATAAGAATGCTAGAACACCACTCGATTAAGGAGGAAGTATCTAACAACAGTTATAAAGGCACTAACAAAAGCACCAACTTCCACCCAATGAATCAAGTAATCAAAAGCAATAATAATATCTCAGGTGAACAGCCTGAGGCGAGCTTATCAAAGGCTTTTCATGAACAGTGATGAAAATGCTGGAGGGATCGACATTACTAGCAATTGACCGTGGAAAAAGTCCCATAAGATCAAATGCCACCAACTCAAATGGAGAAATTGCAATTAACTCTAATGGTCCTTCTGGAGCACGAAGGAGAGTATTACAAACTTAACACCAAACGCAATTATGCATATACTAGATAATATCACGTTGTATTTCTAGCTAATAGAAAAACCTATGTAGCTTGTCAGTTACACGACGATGTCCCATATGCCCACCTAAAACAAGAGAATTGTGGTAGGCATAGAGAAACCGCAAAATAAAGACAAAAGACACTACCAATTGTAAATGATCATCAGAATCCGTCCCCACAAAGTAAAGAAGGCCATTTTAAAGGCGATACTGAGAATGTAAATGTTAGAATGGCAAGTCATCAGCAAGTCATGTAGGATTCTCAAACCCATCTCGAATCCTTCGCATCCATAGCTCACGTTTTTTAGCCTCACAAACCTCATCAAGAAAATGTAGATTTTGCTCTGCACCTTGCGGACACTGAACGTCGAGTATAACAACCGTCAACAGCATAGAATCCTCGTTTAGAAAATTTACAGACGCCAAAACAATAAACTCATTAAAAACATAAAAGATAGTGGAAAAGGAAGAAGAGCTCGAGAAATGGCATTAGCATTAGCCATGAAACTCCCAAAGCAATTAACAACATCAAAATCATATATTTGAAGCTTTAAAATTTATCAAGCAAAAAAAAGAAATTTTTGCCTGCAATTTTCAATAAGACCTAGATATTGATTGAGGGCGAACTTATAGAGAAATCTGCAAGTCACTAGAAGATCAACACAAGAAACCATAACACAAAACCACACGGGCTTATGTCTATGAAATAGCTATGTTGGTCGTATAGTTCAAATCCTCACCTATTATGCTTTGGTGTATCCAAAGTTACAGAGGTAAGATTAATACAGTTGAATGTCATATATAAGTCCCTTTTGCCGGCTGAATCACACCTGGACTCCACTCCCTACTGGCCAACATATCCACTTCCTTACAGAATATGCTCCAGTAGCACTTGGTAAGCTTTGGCAAAAGTGCCCATCAATCATTCTTCTTGCTGTTATGAGCTTTGTCTTGAGCACAAATGCCTAGTTTCAGCTGATCCTTACAATTGTAAGTATCTGGAAATATCATCTAGCATTTTGACTTTCACATTCAGTTTTAGCTAGCATTTGACTAATAGATAGGTCAACATTGTCAACCCGACTGTCGAAGACTATCTTAAACATCGGATTGGCTCCCACATGTGGGGCACTCAACATGGGTGAAGTCAAATTCATGGATCCATCTAGAGGTTGTTCGTGTGCAACTTGGCGAGCTATCAGATAACATACATACATGGGATAAAGTTCCTGCAAAACCCTGTGATTGAGCCATTCAGTGATCCTACTACAAGAGCTACTAAATATACAATAGATGACAATTTCTAATTGGCTATGATGAATTAGGTAAATATTCTATGTTCAAGTTTCATAAGTATTCATATTTTCATGTAAAAGTTAGTTCACTGAACTGATAGTATGCTGACATCCTTAACTCCACGCACATTGACATGAACATTATGGGTAGAATTGTTGCTCACACTAGGATAAACATTGAGAACATTATAAGTTCTACCATCATGAATACCATGGAAAAATGCTTAGGCATCCTGATATATCACATCCCTACTTCAAGGTTAGTAAATAACTTCCAAGGGGTTATTCCTTTTCTTGAACCTCTTGTTTCAGGTCTACTGTATCTGTTGATCAACACATGAAAGTAAAACAATTGATATTTCTGGAGGTATTGCTTGTTGATTTGTCCTCCCAACGCTACATTAACTTTCGTTGACTCATTTGTAGAATTCAACATGCGAAAATTTAAACCCAGAGACAGTGTCATAGATCAGCTCACCCCCAACGCGACACATACTGCAGTGTGCGGTGTTGAATGCATGTTTAATCCTAAGTAACTGACAGCTAGTTTCAGCCATAACATTGCTAAGCACAAACCCATCACTTCGAAGAACAAATTTCTTCCGAAAGCTGAAGAGATGTTTGCTCCATAATATTGTCATGAAGAATGCGTAATAAACAACCAATGTTGATGTGGCGCTCCACGTGGGTTGGCAGCGCGCTACGTCATCGGCTACCATTTCTTAAGTTGTTTGGGCAGATCTTTCTCTTGAAAATGCTTTGTTGATTCTCCGAGAAATCACTTTTTTGTAGATCTGTTGCACCAAAGAGCAAGCGATACAAGACTAACCCAGCAAGCTGGACGCCGAATTCCGCACTGGGAGCTCGATCAAGGACCGCGACAACCTGTGGCGCGGGCAACAAGAGCAGCTCCCAATCGAAGCAATGACCAGGGAAACACTTTTATAGCTCATTGATCCGGGAGGTGCTGGGACAGGAAGCGCTTCTACAACTCGTGCATCGGGGAATCGAGAGATTTCTCCAGAGATTTCTCGCTGGTGCTCGCGGCATTCAAGGCTTGCAGCTGGTGCCTCGGGCGGTGCTCAATGTTTCTTTTTGGTTGTTACATCGGCAGATGGAGCTTGTGATTCCCAAGTTAGGGCGGATGAAAAAGCGCATTCGGAGCCTTTTTCTGCGGAGAAGCATTAGCACAGCAATCACGCAGGGCCGATTGTTTGCGCCACTAGGTAATGTTGATATTAACTTCGCTTTTTGCATTGCATGGTTTGGCACAATGGATGAAAATGGAAAACCAAGAAGCTTGAATGGATTAAAGTACCATAATTGGGGAGTAAACGATGGTCAAGCAGGGCACAGAGCTCATGGAACATGGATCCTAGGGCAAGCGGCGCACTGCGGGATCGCTCATCCATTCACGAGGTAAGAATCATCTTTAGCTTGGGTGGATTTGGCGCTGGAGTGTCTTGTTTAGCTCACTCTAGGAGAAACCATTCGGTCTCTCTTGCGACTTCTTTTGCTTAAGACGCGCTCATATTTTTCTTTCCTTCTCTTGTGTAGCTTAAAAAAAAATGGAAGACTCTGCTAGCATGCATCGTCAACAACAGCAGCAACTTTTCTCGTCAAGCTGGGCCTCACCTCCGCACTGTAGAACTTGGCGGACCTCAAGCTGAGAGCCACGGCGATGGCACACCCAAACAAACAGGTGGCGCCCATGACGAAGAACGTTTCCCTGTAGCACTTGGCACCGTCGCACAAGAGCGAGGCCTCCAGCGTGTCAGGGCCCCGGTATCTCCTGGCTTGCCGATCGTAGAACACACCCGCAACTTCCACCGACAGGACATACGTCCCAATCCCCTTTGCAACGTTTGGGAAGCTCTGGAGAACTCCATAGTGCTTGAGCCCGAAGATCTCCGCGATGATGGTCGACAGCACCGCCCACTGGCCTCCGGTGGCGAGCCCGATGATGGTGGAGCCGATGTACAGCGCGCCGGGAAGGCCCAAGGCGATGAGCAAGTTGCCGAGCGCTAGAAAGCCGACCACCGCAGCGAACACGAACGGCCGTCCAATGCCAAACTTGTGGAGGAGTATCTCGGACACGAAGCCGCAACCGATTGCTCCCAGGAAGTCCCAGAGGTTGAGGAGAGCCACGAAGATGTTCATCCTTGCGGTGGAGTATCCCAGGGAGGCGCTCAGCTGGCCCAAGTTGTTGTAGAAGGTGGACACGGTTCCCAGGCCGCAGGAAGTCGCGATGAGCATGAGCCACATATCGATGCTCAGCAAGGCGTGGACGAGCCTGTAGTCCTTCCCTCTCGCTGGAACTTGGAACCATCTGTGGATGCCAGCGCTGGAAGCTTGAGAAGGAGAATGGTCGACGACTTGCAGAGAACTAGGCGTGGAATTCATATCCGCGAGCTGAGCTTCAGAGTTATGAGATGGCGGTATGCTTTCGACAGCACCAGCACTGTTCGAATGTGATCGAATCTTAGCTCGGACAACCAGAGCAACTGGAAGTAGGACGATGAGCAGCATCAAACCAAAGAACACGAAAGGCACCGAGTCTGGAAGCCTGCTCGGTATGGTCCCCTCGATGACTGTGACGACGAGGAGATAGGCAGCTAAGGCAAAGGTGGTGATGAGGAACGAGCGGAGAATGGACTTGTCGCTGGACTTCTCGATGACAGGCACGGGCCCGAGGAAGAGGCCAAGCAGCAGATACAGGAACGTCGGTAGCAGCCCCAGGAAGAGCAGAAACGAGCGAGCGTGGACCTGGAAGAAAGTCTGGAACACAACCGCGAATGCGGTTGCTCCCAGGCCATTGCTGCCGTCGAGCAAGCTCAGCAGCATCCCCTGGTGGTGTTTCGGGAAGTTTGTGGCACAGGTGGTCAGAACAGCCGTGACTGCAAAGCCTACAGAGGCGCCGACGAGAAACATATAGAAGCTCATTTGCCATGCCGGTGGACGAGCAATCTGGTGAGTGATGGCGAGCCAGGCCATGGTGTAGCCGAACAGGTTGAGCAATGCGGAGACGAACATGGTGAGACGGGGGCCGACTCTCGCATTGAGCAAACCGGCCAGGAAAGCCATGCTAGTGCCGAGATCCTTGAAGAAGCTGATGGTATTGACGGACTCTTGCTTGTAATGCAGGGAGATTTTGAGCTCCTGTGAGAACAAGCTGAAGCTGGTGAGCGTGCCTCCGGTGATTGCTATCAAGTAGAAGCCCGAGACTGCGACGATCCAGCGATTGCTAGCGATGGAGAAGAGTTCCTTGGCCATTGCTAGCGCCATTGCTGCCAGCTTTGTGGACCGCACAAGGTAACGAGAAAGCTCTTCAGAATCATGGTTTTCATGCCTTTATATCTTGTTATAATTGCAGTCCATGTGACGCTCTGACTCGAGCCGTCGCTTGCTCTTTGAAATGGCAAGCTTCTTCAAGCAGAGAGTTTAACATAAACTTGGCAATAACGTAGTTTCGTGGCTAAGTTTTCTATGCGCAAGTCAACTAAGTTGAGCGTTGACTGCATTTGCCATATCAGTGACAGATTAGCGTTCGCATTTGGCCCCAGATGAACGCTAATCTGTCATTGAGACGGAAAAGTCTACAAATTGGTCTTGAATGGAGGCGGATCCATGGAAAGTTCGTGCAAATCGTAACGTTCTTAAATTCGTACTGCCAAATAGAAATCTTAGTTTTTTGCAACTATATAAGCAGGGCACTGGGAGGAGACTGATATCCGCATCTCAAAGTTGAGAAAGCCTAGCATCCAAGCATACATTTCCATTTCCATCTTTCGTCTTCCAAGCTTTCTGGCTTACACAGTCCCATCCATGGCTGGCATCAAGGCATTTGTTGACAGCTGCAACGGGACACTGTCGAGCGTTCCAGAGAGATACATGATGCCGAATGGAGCTGCCGATGTCTCCCGGTACGCGGTGCTGCCGATAGTCGATGTGGCGAGCGAGAGCTTCGAGAGGGATCTCGTTGACGCTTGCACAAAGTACGGAATGTTCTACGTAAGTTTTGATGAGGTGTCTTTTTCCTGTAAGTTGTTGTTCTTCTGACTTGCAGCTCAAGAACCACGGAATTCACACCGAGGATGTGATGAGGTGTGCTCTCGAGTTCTTCAACTCGCCCAGCGAGGACAAAATGCGGTACTACACCGAGGAGATCTTCACACCCGTCCGCTACTGCACCAGCATGATGCCTTCGAAAGAAGAGAAGCTTGAGTGGCACGACCACCTCCAGATGTGGCTCAAGGAAGAGTCCCTCGGAGTGCACCCCTGGCCCGCGTTCCCAGCCAGCTACAAGTCAGTTTCTCGCTCCTTGATTTTTCGTATTGATCTAGATTGCTGACGCTCTATATGCAACAGGGACGTTGGATCCGAGTACGCCAGAAACATCTTCAAGCTCGGGAAGAGGATGCTGTTGGTCATGTCCGAGGGACTTGGCCTCCGCTCAAACCGTCTTCTGGAAGCATTCGCAGAGATGGTTCTTCTGACGAGAGCAAACTTCTATCCGGCTTGCCCGAACCCGAGGCAGGCCTTGGGCATGGAAGGCCACACCGACAGCGGCGGCCTCACGTTTGTGCTCCAGGATGGAGTCGGGGGATTGCAGCTGAAGCAAGGCGAGGATTGGTACAACGTGAGGCCACTCGAGGGAATGCTGGTGGTCAACATGGGCGATCAGCTAGAGGTACGAGCAGTCGAAAACTTTTTGAGAAACTGTGGATTGATCTTTGTCTTGGTTGATTGTCTTGTATCAGAAGCTCAGCAATGGGAGATACAAGAGCATATTGCACAGGGTGATGGTGAACTCGAAGAGTTCAAGGCTGTCCGTCGGGGCGTTCCTGGGGCCGTCACTAGACGCGGAGATCAGCCCGATTCCAGAGCTGGTGAGCCAGGAGAGTCCGGCAAAATACCGCAGCAGGACTTATAGGGATTACATGCACGAGGTGTACACGGAGCACTTCTCCGGGAAGAATGTCTATGTGGCTTGAGTCTTGGGTAGTCAAAGGTACCAATTTTTTTCTCATTCTCAGAAATAAAACAGTTGCAAGAAATGTTTGCTCACAAGGATCTTAGTTTGATAAGCAAAGATTTTATCACAATATTATATGGAGGTACGAAATTTCATAGCAAGCCGACTGTGTGCTGCGTAGAAGATCGTAAAAGTTTAACAATCTGGGAGGAAGTCCAGCAATGTATTGTTAAGCAATATAACTTTTTAAAATCACAATATGAAAGACATATGAAGCTTCTTATTATATAAACTCTCATCATTTTTTTAAGGCAGCGAAGAAGCTTTGAGGTACCAGAATGATATGACTAAGGTGAAAGTCCTCACCAAAAGCAGTGGTTTTCCAGCAGGTGTCCATTCTTTCTTTTCATTTTCTTGAGATTTTCAGCTGCCATCCCTCAGCAACTTGAACTTCGATAGATAGTTGAGAAATTTTTGCCTGCAGTTTTCAGCAAGACCTAGATATTCATCAGGGGCGAACTCATAGAGAAATCTGCAAGTCACTTGAAGATCAACACAAGAAACCATGACATAAAACCACACGGGCTTATGTCTATGAAACAGCTACGTTGGTCATAGCTTGTTGAAAGTATAGTTCAAATCCTCGCCCGTTATGCTTTGGTGTATCCAAAGTTACAGAGGTAAGATTAATACGGTTGAATGTCGTATACAAGTCCCTTTTGCCGGCTGAATCACACCTGGACTCCACTCCCTACTGGCCAACGTATCCACTTCCTTATGCCAAGTGCTACAGGGAAACGTTCTTCGTCATGGCCGCCACCTGTTTGTTTGGGTGTGCTCGCCGTGGCTCTCAGCTTGAGGTCCGCCAAGTTCTACAGTGCGGAGGTGAGGCCCAGCTTGACGAGAAAAGTTGCTGCTGTTGTTGACGATGCATGCACTCGCAAGAGCGACCGAATGGTTTCTCCTGGAGTGAGCTAAACAAGACACTCCAGCGCCAAATCCACCCAAGCTAAAGATGATTCTTACCTCGTGAATTGATGAGCGATCCCGCAATGCGCCGCTTGCCCTAGGATCCAGGTTCCATGAGCTCTGTGCCCTGCTTGACCATCGTTTACTCCCGCCAAAGTTAAAACCAACGTCATGCTGGAAAGCACCAAATATGGTACTTTAATCCAGCTGCAGATACCTTATTCAAGCTTCTTGGTTTTCCATTTTCATCCATGCAGTAAAAAGCGAAGTTAACAACCTATTGGCGCAAACAATCGGCTTGCTAATCTGCGCGCTTTTTCATCCGCCCTAACTTGGGAATCACAAGCTCCATCTGCCGGTGCAACTGTAACAACCAAAAAGAAACGTTGAGCACCGCCCGAGCAAGCCTTGAATGCCGCGAGCACCAGCGACGTCTGGAGAAATCTCTGGATTCCCCGATGCACGAGTTGTAGAAGCGCTTCCTGCCCCAGCACCTCCCGGATCCATGAGCTATAGAAGTGTTTCCCTGATCATTACTTCGACTGGGAGCTGCTCTTGTTGCCCGCGCCACAAGTTGTCGCTGTCCTTGATCGAGCTCCCAGTGCGGAATTCGGCGTCCAGCTTGCTGGGTTCGTCTTGTATCGCTTGCTCTTTGGTGCAACAGATCTAGAAAAAAGTGATTTCTCAGAGAATCAACAAAGCATTTTCAAGAGAAAGATCTGCCCAAACAACTTAAGAAATGGAAGTGCCACATCAATATTGGTTGTTTATTACTCATTCTTCATAACAATATTATGGAGCAAACATCTCTTCAGCTTTCTGAAGAAATTTGTTCTTCGAAGTGATGGGTTTGTGCTTAGCGATGTTATGGCTGAAACTAGCTGTCAGTCACTTAGGATTAAACATGCATTCAACACCGCACACTGCAGTATGTGTCGCGTTGGGGGTGAGCTGATCTATGACACTGCCTCTTGGTTTAAATTTTCGCATGTTGAATTCTTCAAATGAGTCAACGAAAGTCAATGTAGCGTTGGGAGGACAAATCAACAAGCAATACCTCCAGAAATACCATTTGTGTTACTTTCATGTGTTGATCAACAAATACAGTAGACCTGAAACAAGAGGTTCGAAAAACCCCTTGGAAGTTATTTTACTAACCTTGAAGTAGGGATGTTATATATCAGGATGCCTAAGCATTTTTCCAATGGTAGAACTTGACATCGTTAAGTCCACGCACATTGACATGAACATTATGGGTAGAATTGTTGCTCACATTATGGCATATCAGTTCAGTGAACTAACTTGTACATGAAAATATGAATACTTATGAAACTTGAACATAGAATATTTACCTCATTCATCATAGCCTATTAGAAATTGTCATCTTTTGTATATTTAGTAGCTCTTGTAGTAGGATCACTGAATGGCTCAAGCACAGGGTTTTGCAGGAACTTTATCCCATGTATGTATATTATCTGATAGCTTGCCAAGTTGCACACCAACTACCTCTAGATGGTTATCCATGAATTTTACTTCATCCATGTTGAGTGCCCCACATGTTGGAGCCAATCCGATGTTAAGATAGTCTTGGACATTCGAGTTGATAATGTTGACCTATCTATTAGTCAAATGCTAGTTAAAACTGAATGCGAAAGTCAAAATGCTAGATGATATTTCTAGATACTTACAATTGTAAGGATCAGCTGAAACTAGGCATCTGTGCTCAAGACAATGCTCATAACAACAAGAAGAATGATTGATGGGCACTTTTGCCAAAGCTTACCCGGTGCTACTGGAGCATATTCTGTACTGTATGCAGCTGTTGGACATTATATGTTTGGGCCATAGATGAACATCTTGGACATGAAGTCAATCACAAGAGCGAGGCCTCCAGCGTGTCAGGGCCCCGGTATCTCCTGGCTTGCCGATCGTAGAACACACCCGCAACTTCCACCGACAGGACATACGTCCCAATCCCCTTTGCAACGTTTGGGAAGCTCTGGCTTGAGCCCGAAGATCTCCGCGATGATGGTCGACAGCACCGCCCACTGGCCTCCGGTGGCGAGGCCGATGATGATGGAGTCGATGTACAGCGCGCCGGGAAGGCCCAAGGCAATGAGCAAGTTGCCGAGCGCTAGAAAGCCGACCACCGCAGCGAACACGAACGGCCGTCCAATGCCAAACTTGTGGAGGAGTATCTCGGACACGAAGCCGCAACCGATTGCTCCCAGGAAGTCCCAGAGGTTGAGGAGAGCCACGAAGATGTTCATCCTTGCGGTGGAGTATCCCAGGGAGGCGCTCAGCTGGCCCAAGTTGTTGTAGAAGGTGGATACGGTTCCCAGGCCGCAGGAAGTCGCGATGAGCATGAGCCACATATCGATGCTCAGCAAGGCGTGGACGAGCCTGTAGTCCTTCCCTCTCGCTGGAACTTGGAACCATCTGTGGATGCCAGCGCTGGAAGCTTGAGAAGGAGAATGGTCGACGACTTGCAGAGAACTAGGCGTGGAATTCATATCCGCGAGCTGAGCTTCAGAGTTATGAGATGGCAGTATGCTTTCGACAGCACCAGCACTGTTCGAATGTGATCGAATCTTAGCTCGGACAACCAGAGCAACTGGAAGTAGGACGATGAGCAGCATCAAACCAAAGAACACCAAAGGCACCGAGTCTGGAAGCCTGTTTGTGATGTTCCCCTCGATGACTGTGATGACGAGGAGATAGGCAGCTAAGGCAAAGGTGGTGATGAGGAACGAGCGGAGAATGGACTTGTCGCTGGACTTCTCGATGACAGGCACGGGCCCAAGGAAGAGGCCAAACAGCAGATACAGGAACGTTGGTAGCAGCCCCAGGAAGAGCAGAAAGGAGCGAGCGTGGAACTGGAAGAAAGTCTGGAACACAACCGCGAATGCGGTTGCTCCCAGGCCATTGCTGCCGTCGAGCAAGCTCAGCAGCATCCCCTGGTGGTGTTTCGGGAAGTTTGTGGCACAGGTGGTCAGAACAGCCGTGACTGCAAAGCCTACAGAGGCGCCGACGAGAAACATATAGAAGCTCATTTGCCATGCCGGTGGACGAGCAATCTGGTGAGTGATGGCGAGCCAGGCCATGGTGTAGCCGAACAGGTTGAGCAATGCGGAGACGAACATGGTGAGACGGGGGGCCCGACTCTCGCATTGAGCAAGCCGGCCAGGAAAGCCATGCTGGTGCCGAGATCCTTGAAGAAGCTGATGGTATTGACGGACTCTTGCTTGTAATGCAGGGAGATTTTGAGCTCCTGTGAGAACAAGCTGAAGCTGGTGAGCGTGCCTCCGGTGATTGCTATCAAGTAGAAGCCCGAGACTGCGACGATCCAGCGATTGCTGGCGATGGAGAAGAGTTCCTTGGCCATTGCTAGCGCCATTGCTGCCAGCTTTGTGGACCGCACAAGGTAACGAGAAAGCTCTTCAGAATCATGGTTTTCATGCCTTTATATCTTGTTATAATTGCAGTCCATGTGACGCTCTGACTCGAGCCGTCGCTTGCTCTTTGAAATGGCAAGCTTCTTCAAGCAGAGAGTTTAACATAAACTTGGCAATAACGTAGTTTCGTGGCTAAGTTTTCTATGCGCTAGTCAACTAAGTTGAGCGTTGACTGCATTTCCCATATCAGTGACAGATTAGCGTTCGCATTTGGCCCCAGATGAACGCTAATCTGTCATTGAGACGGAAAAGTCTACAAATTGGTCTTGAATGGAGGCGGATCCATGGAAAGTTCGTGCAAATCGTAACGATCTTAAATTCTTACTGCCAAATAGAAATCTTAGTTTTTTGCAACTATATAAGCAGGGCACTGGGAGGAGACTGATATCCACATCTCAAAGTTGAGAAAGCCTAGCATCCAAGCATACATTTCCATTTCCATCTTTCGTCTTCCAAGCTTTCTTGCTTACACAGTCCCATCCATGGCTGGCATCAAGGCATTTGTTGACAGCTGCAACGGGACACTGTCGGGCGTTCCGGAGAGATACATGATGCCGAATGGAGCTGCCGATGTCTCCCGGTACGCGGTGCTGCCGATAGTCGACGTGGCGAGCGAGAGCTTCGAGAGGGATCTCGTTGACGCTTGCACAAAGTACGGAATGTTCTACGTAAGTTTTGATGAGGTATCTTTTTCCTGTAAGTTGTTGTTCTTCTGACTTGCAGCTCAAGAACCACGGAATTCACACCGAGGATGTGATGAGGTGTGCTCTCGAGTTCTTCAACTCGCCCAGCGAGGACAAAATGCGGTACTACACCGAGGAGATCTTCACATCCGTCCGCTACTGCACCAGCATGATGCCTTCGAAAGAAGAGAAGCTTGAGTGGCACGACCACCTCCAGATGTGGCTCAAGGAAGAGTCCCTCGGAGTGCACCCCTGGCCCGCGTTCCCAGCCAGCTACAAGTCAGTTTCTCGCTCCTTGATTTTTCGTATTGATCTAGATTGCTGACGCTCTATATGCAACAGGGACGTTGGATCCGAGTACGCCAGAAACATCTTCAAGCTCGGGAAGAGGATGCTGTTGGTCATGTCCGAGGGACTTGGCCTCCGCTCAAACCGTCTTCTGGAAGCATTCGCAGAGATGGTTCTTCTGACGAGAGCAAACTTCTATCCGGCTTGCCCGAACCCGAGGCAGGCCTTGGGCATGGAAGGCCACACCGACAGCGGCGGCCTCACGTTTGTGCTCCAGGATGGAGTCGGGGGATTGCAGCTGAAGCAAGGCGAGGATTGGTACAACGTGAGGCCACTCGAGGGAATGCTGGTGGTGAACATGGGCGATCAGCTAGAGGTACGAGGAGTCGAAAAGTTTGTGGAATGATCTTGATGTTGTCCTTGGTTGGTAATCTCAGAAGCTGAGCAATGGGAGGTACAAGAGCATATTGCACAGGGTGATGGTGAACTCGAAGAGTTCGAGGCTGTCCGTCGGGGCGTTCCTGGGGCCGTCACTGGATGCGGAGATCAGCCCGATTCCAGAGCTGGTGAGCCAGGAGAGTCCGGCAAAGTACCGCAGCAGGACTTATAGGGATTACATGCACGAGGTGTACACGGAGCACTTCTCCGGGAAGAATGTCTATGTGGCTTGAGCCTTGAGCAGTCAAAAGCGCCAAGTTTTTCCCATTCTCATGAATAAAAGCGAATGAATTTTTTTGTTAACGCTAATGTTAACGCTGAGCTTCCGCGACAATCATTCCACAAACTTTTGAACTGCTTCTACCTTTGGCTGTGATCTCCCATGTTGACCACCGGCACTCTCTCTAGTGGCGCCACGTTGACCAGTTCTCGCCTTGGTTGTGAGAGGTGTCTTGAAGAAGCTCCCTTGGCCGCTGCCTAGAAGGTGGTAAAAAGAGATTTGTTAGAAAAGAAATGTCTGTTAGAAGGATCTTAGTGGAACTCTATGTCAAGGACTTACGAAAGTTCATAAGAAACTCCCTTGACCGTGCCCAGGAGGTTCTTAGCAGTCCGGGAAGAACAGAGATGGGTTCTATTAGGGCGTCACTCGTTTGCTGCTTGGCAAGAAGCATGGCGGAGGCGGTCGTGGCGGCGGCAGCGCAGCCCACCAAGCTCTCGTATTTCGACAATATGCGGCAGCTCCAAGCAACAGCCAAGGTGCTCTCCATCACAAAGGTAGCGAGTGCGTTTTCTAGCTAGGATGTTTAGATGAAGTCCTCTCCTCATTCTCCAGGATTCTGAGCGAGTAGCCATTGTTTCGGATCGGACAATCTTGTATCCTCAAGGAGGTGGACAGCCCGCGGACAGGGGCTCCATTTCGAGCTTGAATGGAGACACTACATTCCAAGTTCAGGACACAAGGATGAAGAATGGAGTTGTAAGTTTTCGTTTTGTTTCTTCTCAGAGGATTTACTGCTTCACTCTTGTGCTGGCTGTAGGTCTATCACTATGGTGTCTTTGAGCCATCAGACTCTACGTTCGAAGCTGGCCAGGAAGTCACCCTGAGAGTTGAGTCGCAACGCAGGGAATTACACTCAAGGTGCAACACAATCTACAAGCAAACCAGTACTTATCTCTTTTTTTTTTCGAGAACAGGCTGCACACTGCGGGGCACTTGATAGATGTATGCATGGAACTTGTGGGACGAACTTTGGAGCCGGCAAAAGCAAACCATTCTCCAGAGGGGTATGACTTTCGATTCTCAACTTTACACTTTGCAAAGCATTTCTTTCCGGGATAGAGCTTTTGTCGAGTACATAGGAGCAATTCCGAGCGGTGAGATAGAGTCGACTCGTGTTGCCCTGCAGAAAGAAATCGATCGTTTGATAGCAAGTGGTGCTTCGGTGAGTTGTACTATGCCGATGCTTTGTCTTTGTTCTTATTCTTTTTGGTGCCAGTGTATTTATTCGTGCTAGTACTACAGGTAAATGCATCTGTGGTACCTTATGACGAGGCTGCTGGCTTGTGCGGCGGGAGCCTTCCCGATTATATATCCAAGGTATACTCTTATGAATTGGATACAACTTATGATCTTTGTATCTGACCTCCAATTTTCAAATGCCACAGGATAGCAGTCCCAGAATCGTGAGGATCGGAGATCACACGGGATGCCCCTGCGGTGGCACTCATGTCGACGATGTTAGCTCACTCACGGGCTTGAAAGTAAGCGACTTCGAAAGAAAGAGCGTCAAGAGGTTTTGAGCTTACATATGTTGCGCGCTTCACAGGTGACGCAGATCAGAGTGAAAAAAGGAGTGACAAAAGTTAGCTACACGCTGAAATGATCAGAAGCAACCGGCAAGATGTTTCGGAGATATTTGAATCGTGTTACAGTAAGCTCTGTGCGGTTTCGTGTCATGGTTTCTTGTGTTGATCTTCTCGTGACTTGCAGATTTCTCTATGATTCTCGAGAGCTTCGCCCTTGATCAATATCTCCTCCGGGTTTCAGGTCTTGCTGAAAACCGCAGAGATATTTCTCTCAGTTCGCTATTGATGCTCACAAAATCAGATTTTAAGTACTTTTGCTGATAGATGGCATTGTGATTCATAGTGTCGGACTTACTTGATCTGCCGTGCAATGACGCAGGCACCGACGCACCAAAAGCACTCTGCGAGATCTAAAAGAAATGGAAAGACAGAGAGTGGACACCTGCTGGAAAAGACTAGTCGCTAGTGCGTTTCGCTCAATTGCTTTTCGTGTGTTTGGATAGCAAGCCTGCTACTTTTCACTCCACAGTTCTTACGATGAATATAATTCCTTGTGATAGTCATACACAAGCATCATTCCGGGTATAATCGTGCAATTCTATATTAAACCATGGGCCTAGGACAATATAGCACATTAGATTTAACTAATCACGATCCACTGTGAGACTGGAAGTAATTATTTGGCAGGGCGTTTGGCTGGAAGTCAATTTTTGAGGCGTTGATCTGTCAAATCGCAGCCGCCCGCTCCCTCCATACGTAACGGGCATGTCACGCCATGGGAAAAAAGTCCGCGCGGGGGTTTTTACTCGTGGGTTAAACGCAGTCCACGTGGATTCACCAGTCCCATTTTTCCGTTCGATGGTCGACATGTAAGCACGTTATTCCTTTAATGTGGCACGTTTTGTCCAAAGCCGGCGATGGGGACCGTCGATGCTGTCAATCCGACGGCCGCAGCGCCCGGGCGTACGTGTTCGTACGGAATCGCGTTTTGCTTAGTGGTTTTGTTGTAGTTCTTAGGTAGGTGGAGTGGAGGCCAAGGCGGAGGCGCGGGCGCGGGCGCGGGCGCTACAGCGATTCCGGCGAGCGGCGGCCGTGGCCGTGAATCTCCGGAGAATGCCGCTGCGATGATCCGCGCAGCGGCGCCTTGATCGCTTCCCGGGCGTGCGAAGATCGCTGTGCATTGTCGAGGTGAGCATTTTGGGGACAATGTGGATTCGCCGCTCGAGTGATGTGCATTTCTAGCTAAATCGCGCATTGGAATTAGCTTAGCGATGAATTTCGGTGGAGATATAGATGTGTGCGTTGTGAGCTGCTGGATTTGCACTGAGCGAGTTGTGGAACTGTGCAGCGAGTCAGGGGAAACGCCTTCCAAATGGGGAAGAAGAAGTGGTTCTCTGCCGTGAAAAAGGCATTTGGATCGCCCTCCAAAAATGAAAAGGAGAAAACCGACACCTCGTCCGTCAAGGAGTCGGAAAAATTAGATAACAATAATGTGAGTTGGATCTTTTATCTGATTCTCATCTCGAGCACTAACACACTTCCTCCTCGTTTCAGAGAAAACAGATCCAGGATGAAAACCAAAACCAAAAAAAATGGAATGGTGCAACGGATGATAATTCGGTACTTCAAACCGAAGACGAGCAAAGCAAGCATGCGATGGCTGTTGCTGTTGCTACTGCTGCGGCGGCCGAGGCTGCTGTTGCTGCTGCTCAGGCGGCCGCTGCTGTCGTTCGACTTACTGGTGGACGACCGTCTGTCCATGGTGGAAAACCGAAAGAGGAGTGGGCCGCTGTGAAGATCCAGACTGCCTTTCGAGGATATCTGGTGCGTGTTTTTTCTGTGGATCTTAGTCTTCATTTGTTTCATATTTGATCAACCAGGCTCGACGTGCACTGCGTGCCTTGAGAGGTCTGGTAAGGCTACAAGCTTTGGTTCGCGGGCATGCCGTCCGTCGTCAGGCAACTATGACGTTACGATGCATGCAAGCTCTTGTGCGCGTCCAAGCTCGGGTACGTGCAAGAAGAGTCAGGATGGCGGAAGAATCTCAAACTCTGAAGAATCAAGTTTGGCAAAAGCGACTCGAGGAACAAGAAGCGCTTCCTGACGTACGTATTTTAACATAGCTTTCCAGCTGACTAGATTTCGTTTGTCTTTTGGTTTCCAAAGGTTGAGGCGAGTGTGGAAGTTTGGGATCACAGCGTGAAGACTGCCGAGGAAATTCAAGCTAAGATGCAAAGCAAACAGGAAGCTGCCATGAAAAGAGAGAGAGCTCTGGCCTACGCTTTTTCTCACCAAGTAAGCTTACGCCTCCAGTCTCAGAACTACATCTTTCTTCTTATTGCAGCTGTGGAGATCGGAACCAAAAGATGCTTCTGCTATGTATCTGGATGGCGATCCAGAAAAGTCACACTGGGGATGGAGCTGGTTAGAGCGGTGGATGACTGCTCGGCCGTGGGAGGGCCGTGCTATGGAGAAAGATGCTCCCGATGGCTTCTCTCTAAAGAGCAACGAGGACGTGGTAACTAAAATACTAGAGGTTGATTCCGGGCGGTTTAGTTCAAGCGGCAGGCGGAAGCAGGAAAACGAGCTGAATAGTCCCAGTCTCACGAACAAAAGCAACGGGAACCACACACCATCCGCGAGAGGAATGCTTCACTCGGCCAGTCCAAGAAGTACGCGTTTGGTCGACGACAGGACGCCCCGAAGTACAATAAACAATAGCTTGCCAGCTATTGCTGTGAAACATCCCAACAATTCGAGCATTTCAAGTTCAGTCAGGGATGACGAGAGCCTTGCGAGCTATCCTTCGGTTCCAAGCTACATGGCACCGACAGAATCCACAAGAGCTCGGTCCCGCTCCAGCAGTACTCCCAAGCAAAGGCCTGCAACTCCAGACAAGGATGCAGCGAAGAAAAGACTCTCATATCCTTTGGCTGACGGCGTTGTTCCAAACTCCGGACCTTTACGTTCTACCAGAAACAGCGGAATCACGCAGAAGAGTCCGGGACTGAAAGGCAAGCCGACAGGGATGTCTCTTCAGGATAGCATCGGCTCGGATGCTCCACTGCTGGGAGAGGACACGAAACGTTTTAGATGAAGAAGAAAAAGAAAAACATGACGCGGTAGTGCTCGAGGTGATGCAGCCAGGAATAAAGTCTTGGGCTTGCGGAGGTGAATGCCGAGATTGGGAAATGTTTACTGTAAAGCTTCTGCTTTCTTTCACTGCTTTCCTATTTTGCTAACAGTGTGCAACTATCATTTGTTCTTACTTTTGCTTTCTTACTTACCTCAGGTGACTAGAAGCGCTTGAACAATGGACGGTATGTATGACTGCATAATTTTGTTTTTCTTTCTGATGGGTGTGTTTCTGGATCTGCAGGTTTAAAGCCTCCAGAAATTGAGCTGCTTCTTTGGCGATGTGCTAGACTTTGGAAAAGGTCGGAAGAGCTCGCGACCACCTCTGTAGCACCTGGTGTCTGCTATCTGGACGGGAGAAGCAACGGAAAACTTTGATGGACTGGAAAGTTTGGGAAGCTTCTGACGTCCAGGACTCAGGATAGGAAGCAAGTGATCATCCACCGACCCAGCCGAGAGTTGAGATTTTCTGGACAAGGCGTCGTTGTTGCTGCTGCTGACGAAAGACAACATTCCGGAGCTCGCGGCGTTGTGATATGACACGACTTTTTTCCTCGGAGCGTCCCCGGACTTTGGAGAAGGGAACTGGAAGAGTTTTGCTCCCTTCGATCTGGAGTTTCTGAGAGAGCTGGATCTTCCCAGTGCGTCCTTGCAGCTTGTTTTGATGACACCGGGACTACGTTCTGTACATGATCCCGACTTCATCACCGGTGAGCTCCTGTTACCTCTTGCGTTGCTTGCAAAGTTTCCGCAGTAGACTGACACAGCCTCGTTCCTGACCTGCAGCTGAGGCGCAGCGAGCTTGATTGTTTTGGAGCTTTCCTGGTGGAGCTGGAGCTCTTTCTCCATAAGTGAGACGATGGTCCCCTTGGCTCCAATTGCAACTGGTCCAGCCTTGTCGTCGATGGAGCTCTCCATAATGTTCCCACACCAAAGATACGCTCCTCTCAGCTTCTTCCACTGCTCAACTTACCGTGAGTTCCTTTCCAGTTTTTCCTGTGGATCCCCCGCTGTTGCCAGGTTGCCCCCGGCATCTACTGCTGTCTATTCCGCGGAGTGAAGAGCAGGGAGGAAACTTTCAACCAGCGGAATAATGGTGTCACAGGAAGAACACTCTCGGCAGCAAAGCAACACACTCAGCAGCAATCAAGTCGATGATATAGTGGAAGTAAATGCGGAGCTGCAAGGACACACACACTCACAAGCCACAGTTCAAGCGCTCTTTTAGCTACTGATGACTGAGCTCTTTCCCGAAATGCACGCCATACCAACCAGCAACAACGAACTCTTCCGCGCTAGCCGAAGGGATATGAAAGCGAAGTGTGAGCAGAGGTCGCAGCTCTGGAGGAGGAGGAGGTGTAGAGGAATCAAATCACTCGCATTGCAGGCTTAGCTTATCGCAGCAGTGCAGGGGACAGGGTGACAGAGGCGGACAAGAAAAACAAAGCGCGCCGAGGCAAAACGAAGCACAGCGCGGCCAAGGCAAAGCGAAGCTCGAGAAATCACATGCAAGGCCTTTCGGCCCAGCGCGAAAGCGAGCTTTCTCCTTGTCGCTACTTGTGGCAGATTAAGCGGAAGATGGGATTGAATAGAAGCGAAGTTTTCAAGCACCATGGCAAGCGCTCCAAATACAGGTTGGTTTTATTTGGGGTGGAAGATTTTTCTTTGCGTGTTGCTTTGTTTATGAAGCACAAGGGCCCTGTGAATAGCGATCTCCTCTCGATTCGATGGATTAGTATCGGTATAAGTTTTCAAAATTTTATAAAATTTTATTTTTATAAAGGTAAGCAAACTTTATTTATTTTATTTCGTATTTTAAGTAACTATTTTGCATTGCTCACACCAGTTGCGCTTGACAAGGAAAGAAGCGTTACAGCATTAATCTATGCGTGAGAATGATGGTCAAATCGGTCAAGGCGGCGAGACAACGACCAAGAAAGGCCATGCAAAGTTGGCGGCGAAGCCATGAAGGAAGTTCTTTCTTGGCTTGCTGACTTGGCAATGGTAGGTTTTTACTCTTGACGTGGCACTCGCTTTCGCGGCAAGGAGGTGAAAGGGCGTTTTCCTTGGAGAATGGCGGAGAAAGGAGGAGGTAAGCAGTGAGACGGCTAATGGCCCCGCCGCCCGGGTGTGGCGAGGCAGCCATCGACAGGCACTGGTGGTGGTGGGCGAAGTGGTGGTGATTCATGGGAAGCCTTTCCTCTCGCGATCACCACCAGCAGGGCTTTCATCTTCTCGCGAACAACAGCTCCACCCAAGAATCCACCGATCGATCCAGCTACAAGAGGGACGGAAGCAAGCCGCGAGCGGAAGAGCTTGTCGAGTCTGGGCGATGCACGGATTCCAGGGCCTGCCCGTGCGTCGATTGCTTGAGCGACAACGCTGCTCAGCCCGGCCACTCCACCTTCTTCCAGGCCACCATCAATGCCTTCGTCTTGCTCATCGGTAAGCCTCTCCTCTTAACTCTTTCTCTGCAATGCATAGATCTTAGCTCTCTCTCTCTCTCTCTCTCTCTGTCTGGGGATTGCTTCATAGATCTAGCTTCGCTCTCTATCCCTGTGTGTGTGTGTGTGTGTGTGTCTATCTGTCTGGGATTGATTCATAGATCTAGCTTCGCTCTCTATCCCTCTCGACCGATCGACCACCTTTGCTGTTGTTTGTCTTGCAGGGCTGGGAACCCTGTCGTCCGCGTACGCGGTGGAGCGGTGCGGCTTTTTGGGCCTGGCGGTGCTGTGCATCACCGCCACCTTCTTCTGGATGGGCTCCAAGCTCGTCTGCCTGTGCATGGAGCCCGACGAGAGCCTCCGCAACTACCAGGACGTGGCCGCCAAGGCCTTCCCGCGCTGGGGCCGCCTCCTCATCACCACCTTCTTCTACATCGACATTTTGGGCAGCCTCGTCGGCTACATGGTGTCCATGGGCGACACCATGCTCCTCATCTTCCCCCGCTCCCACCTCCGCGTCCTGGGATTCACCGGCAAGACCATCTTCACCTGCATCGCCTTCCTGGTCATCCTCCCCACCGTCTGGTTCCGCAAGCTCAGCACCATCTCCTACCTCTCCTTCTGGTGCGCCATTAGCATCCTCGTCACCATCGTCTGCCTCCTCGTCGCGGGCATCAAGAACAACATCGGCTTCGACCAGGACGTGGCCGTCTTCCGCCCCCGCAACGTCCCCATCGCCACCGGTGTGTACACCTTCACCTTTGGCGCCACCGCGGTTCTTCCCAACGTCTACCGCTCCATGAAGTCCCCCGGCAGATTCTCCGAGGTACTACTCCATCCACTGCCACTGCCACTGCCACACAAAAACTTCCTCTAAAGTGATCATCGGTAAGTCTGTGTCTCACTAGATGCAAACTTGAGACTGGGCTGACGAACTTTGCAGGTTCTGACGCTCAGCTTCGCCATGGCGACGCTGCTCAACGTGATCGTGGGCATAATCGGCTCCGTGATGTTTGGAGCGCAGACCAAAGCCCAGGTTCACCTCAGCATGCCGCCCAATCTCCTGGCGTCCAAAGTGGCCATCTGGGCAACGCTCATCACCCCCGTCACCCAGTTCGCGCTCTTCCTCTCGCCCATCTCGTGCGAGCTCGAGGGTGTGCTGCTGCCGCGGCTGCCGTGGAGGAGCGACTCCAGGCTCGTGCACGCCGCCTCCATGGCGCTGCGGACGGCGCTGCTGCTGGGCATCACCCTGGGCGCGCTCGTCTTCCCATACTTCGCAAACATCATCGAGCTCATCGGCTCCTCTGTGAGCGTCACGCTGTGCGTCGTCTTCCCCTGCGTCTTCTACGTCAAGATCTTCTACCGGAGCTTGATCCAGGCGCAGCAGCGGTGGAGGCTGGTGGGGATCGTGGGGATTGTCGTGGTCAGCGCGCTGGCTGGGGTCGCGGGCACCGTGGTTTCCATCCAGGACTTGGCGCGCAAGAAGAACTAGGAAGTAGAGAATTTTGGATTGAGCAAAAAAAGAAAAAATGCGTTGACGTTGACGACTTGACCGTTGACGGCATAGGACAGCATATGCTGCATATGCTTAGAGGATCTTTCCTTTCTTTTGGATCGACGACAGGACACATGTCCGCTACGGATTGACAAGCTCTGTCTGGGTTTTGCCGAGCAGCGAGCGATGGCGGCCGCGATCGCATGCCATGCCGCCATTGCGGCCAAGGCGGGCGGCGGCGATCCAGCTCCCGGAGCGCCCAAGACCGCTGTGGCGGCCGTAAAAAGCAAGAGCTTCAATGGGAGAGCGAGCTTTTCCTCCACGAAAAGGTTTGGGAGTTTCTTTAGTTTCCATGGTTTTTTGAGATCGTTGTGATCTCTTCTAGGCCAAATTGCCGTGCATTGGCTTCCCAGACCGCGACGAAGATCGGGGGTAAGATTCCTTTTCTCCTTGCCGAGACGATAGAGCAATTTGTTTCTTTTCTCCTTGCCGAGACGTCGTGTAGGTGCCGGGGAGCCAGCAGCAGCATTGGAACTCGACTCCCTGCGAGACACGATACTTTCTCGATCCGACCTTAGCGAAACCAGCCGTCGCGCGAAGACTCCTTTCAATGTGGTGATCGTCTCGTCCGAAGCCGCGCCATACTCCAAGACTGGCGGCCTTGGCGACGTCTGCGGCTCGCTACCAGTCTCGCTTGCTCGCAGAGGCCACCGCGTCATGGTTATAACACCTCGCTACCTCAGCGCAGCGACGCAGCACTTGTACAAGGCAGCGGTCGACGCGCAGTGCCGCATCAAGGTGGGATGTTTCGGAGCCGAGCACGAAGTCGCGTTTTTCCACGAGTATCGAGCGGGTGTTGATTGGGTGTGGAACTACTCTCTTCTTTCTCAAGTTTTGATCAGCTCCTTTTGACAGGTTTTCGTGGATCATCCCTCGTATCATCGCCTTGGAACCCCGTACGGAGACACGCGTGGAACTTTCGGCGATAACCAAGTACGCGCAGTGTTTGTCGATCGATTTTTCGAGCTTTTGCGAATGTGTTTTCTCTTGGCAGTTTCGATTCACTCTTTTGTGCCATGCCGCGTGCGAAGCTCCTCTGGTTTTGCCTCTCGGTGGCTGCGTATATGGCGATAAGTGTTTGTTCATTGCCAATGACTGGCATGCCGGTCTGGTTCCAGTGTAAGTGGTGGTATGGTTTTTCTTCCTTGTTTGCGACTTACGGGATACATAATGTAGGCTGATATCTTCCAAGTACCGTCGAAACAATGTGTACAAAGACTCCCGCTGCGTGCTTGCCATCCACAATCTCGCACATCAGGTGGATCCAAACCTCGATTTCCTGGTTTTAGTTTGAGCTGACTGACCTTGACACGCACCAGGGAGTTGAGCCATCGACAACGTATGGAAACCTCGGCTTGCCTCCTGACTGGTATGGAGCATTGGAATGGGTGTTTCCACACTGGGCGAGGGCGCATGCTCTTGACAAAGGAGAAGCTGTCAACCACTTGAAAGGTGGCATTGTTACTGCAGATCGCATCCTCACAGTCAGCCAGGTTCTCGCCTTTTGGCCATTTCTTTCTTCAACTCTCAGGAATTTTTTTTTCGTTGGCAGGGATATGCTTGGGAGATGACCACCGCGGAGGGTGGATTCGGTTTGGACGGTCTCCTCCGTAGCAGGAACTCAGTAATTAATGGTGACACTTGACACTTTGGCCTGTTCTACTTCGATGTTTTGAGCTGGTTCTAAGCGTTTTTATCATAGCTATGTGACAGGTATAACAAACGGGATTGACGTTGATGACTGGAATCCAGCGACAGACAGGAACATCGCTTCACAGTATACACTTGACGACTTTTCGGGAAAGGTGAGGCGATAAAACGCAGAGTTCACAGGGTTCATGCTGTGGTTTTTAAGTCCAGGCTCAGTGCAAAGCGGCAATTCAAAAGGAGCTGGGGTTGGCGGTGAGGCCGGATGTCCCGCTGGTACGCAAGAAAATTCTGGAGAGTCTCTTTATCTCGAATCACTTGGTTTCACTTCACAGATTGGGTTTATCGGACGTTTAGACTACCAGAAAGGTCCAGATCTTATCCAGGAAGCATTGCCAGAGCTCTTGTCCGACGACGTGCAAATGGTACACTCGGAATGATGCTTCTACTTTCAAACTTCATATAGTCATGTTTTGCAGATAATGCTGGGCTCTGGAGAGCCTTCTATCGAGTCGTGGATGGTGTGGGCCGAGGTAAATTACAAAGAAAAGTTTCGAGGATGGGTTGGTTTCAACGTGCCGGTTGCGCATCGGATCACTGCCGGGTAACGATTGTCCGCTGCTGTTCCTTGTTTCTCGTATTTGATTGTTGATGTTGCAGGTGTGATATCTTGCTGATGCCTTCGCGATTTGAGCCTTGTGGACTAAATCAGCTCTACGCAATGAGATATGGAACTATACCCGTCGTTCATTCAACCGGGGGCCTTCGGGTGCGTGGTCGTGATCATTTCAACTCAATAACACTCATCTCTTTGGTTTTTGCTGTCACTGCAGGACACAGTCGAGGGCTTCAATCCATTTGCAAATGGTGGACTAGGTGCTGGGACAGGGTGAGCAAAGCTCCACATTTTCCTTTCCTTACCAAAACGTTTGCTTTCCTCTCTTACAGATGGACTTTTTCTCCATTGTCGAAGGACGCCATGATGGGAGTAAGTTGACATGGTTGTGTGTTGTGATCCAAAGAACAATTTTTCTCTTCTGTGCAGGCGTTGTTTACAGCCATTTCAACGTACAGGAACCACAAAGAGTCGTGGAATGGGATAATCAAGCGCGGCATGTCGCAGGACTTCTCGTGGGATCGAGCGGCACTGCAATACGAGCAAGTCTTTGAGTGGACGATGATGGATCCCCCTTACGCTTGATGGGTATGTTTACACACACGGCTTGATCTAATAAATCTTTTTCCTTCTCGTTTCTCTCACAGATAATAAATGTCAAACTAGAGCTAGAATCTGGGAACTCTCATTCTTCCTCGAGGTTTATGGAGTCCTTGAACTTGGCGTAGAGCACCCGCTTGAGCTCGTTCATCTTGGACACGACCTCGTCCTTCTCCTCCGCCAGCCGCCCCAGCTCTCGATCGCTCTCCTCCTTGAGGCACTCGAGCTTGCTCTCAATCTCCTCCTTGCTCAGGTGCCCAAACACCTCGCCAATCTGGTAGCGCACAACCTCCTCGTCGCTCAGCACCAGCTCGTTGCTTGCGTCCTCGAGATTCTCCGCCAGCTCCTGGTTGCGCAACCAACATTCTCTCAAAACCGCGACGAGAGCAAGCAAGAGTTACGTGCCTTTTTCGCCTTGATCTCGTCCTCGAGGTCGTGGAACTTGGCGTTGAGTCGCCCAAACGCGTTGATGTTCTGCTGATCCTCCCATGTCACCTCCGTCTCCACGCCCTCCCCCTGCCACGCCAGAGAAAGGATGAAACCACAGCGCGAGCCACAGCGCTACTTGCCTGCTGCATCGCTTTTGCCCTAAATGGGTAAAAGGATCTTTTTAGGGCATAAATTATATTATGATTACGTATATAATTTAATATGTTACAAAATACAAATAATTAATTATATATGTGAGTGCATGGAATATGGAAAGGGAATACAGAAATGTGCATATTAATTAGCCCAAAAACCCTAGCTTATATACAGGAGCGAAGGGTCCGAATTGAAACCAATTCGACGGCTACTAAAATCCCATTATGCTAAAATTAGTATACAGCATTGTAGCCGTACACTTGGCCCTCACATCATCCCCTCTTCTCGGAATAATGGAAGACTATCAAAGTTCTCTTGTAGACGGGCCGGGATCTGGAGGAACATCAGGAGGAGGCATCGGCAGATTTGTAGATGGTATTAATCGCTCCTGATCCCTTTGTATGAAGCGTTTCAACTGCTGCACATGCACAATCTCTGGAGGATCGGCTTGCTGGACGTCATGCCGAACCTCATAAACTTGTGGTCCAACTTGCCACAACACTTGATACAGTCCTTTCCACTGTGTAAGGAGCCCCTTAGATAAACCACGTACTGTAAGATGGGGAAAACGGACTAACACCAAATCATCCACTTTGTACTTTGCAAGTGGACGATGACAGGAGTTGTAACGCTGTTGTTGTCCCACTTGTACGCGGCCTAAGTATTCAGCAGACTTTGCTCGGACAAGTGGAAGAATGCTTGTCAAATATTGATCCCATGACCTAGCATCCGCAGCTCGTGGCAATCGCAAAGGTAAACCTAACTTCATTGGTAATATTGGATCATGACCATATAAGAGTTTATATGGTGAAGCATCAATAGAACTCTGCACCCCAGTGACATATGCATACCGAAGAGATATCAAATAACTATCCCAATCCGAATGCTGAAAGTTCACATACTTCGCAATCATCCCCTTGAACATCTGAACGAGTCGATCCACCAAACCGTCTGATTGTGGATGATAATCATTTGTGAAAATGTGGTGAATCCCCAACCAAGACGTCAAAACATGAAATGCCTCAACCATAAATGTGGGACCATTATCCGAAAGAATCCGCTCTGGACAAGAATGCGGGAACACCACTTGATTGAGGAGGAAGTATCCAATAGCAGTTGAAGAGGCGCTAGCAAGAGCACCAACTTCCACCCAATGAGTCAAGTAGTCAGAACCAATAATAACATATTCATTGCCAGCAGTCGACCGTGGAAAAGGTCCCATAAGATCAAACGCCACCAACTCAAACGGACGGGAAACTGCAATTGACTCCAACTGTTTTTCCGCAGCCCGAGGGGGAGTATTACGAGCTTGGCACCAAACGCAGCTATGCATATACCGGATAATATCACGTCGCATCTTTGGCTAATAGAAAGACCTGCATAGCTTCTCGATTATACGACGATGTCCCATATGCCCACCTAGAACAGGAGAATCATGGTAGGCATGGAGAAACCACAGAATAAAGATAGAAGGCACCACCAGCCATAAATGATCATCAGGATTTGTCCCCACAAAATAAAGAAGGCCATCTTCAAGATGATATTGAGAATGTAAATGCCGGAAAGGCAAGTCATCAGCAAGTGATGTAGAATTCTCAAACCCATCTCAAAGCCTTTGAATCCATGGCTCAATCTTTTGAGCCTCACGAACCTCATCAAGCAAAGGTAGACGTCTAGAAAATCCACAGATGCTGGAATGACAAGCTCGTCAGAAACATGAGAAGAGAGTGAAGAAGGAAGAGGAGTTTGAGAAAGGGCATTAGCATCAGCTATAGAACTCCCTAGGCGGTGAACAACATCAAAATCATATATCTGAAGTTTCAAAGCCCACCGAGCAGTACGACCAACCAGGTTCTTCCGCTTTAATAACAAAGTAATAGTAGCATGGTCACCTTCAAGTAATGTCTGAGAGCAATGTAGATATGCATGAAGTTTCTTGAAACCCTAGATTGCTGCTAAACACTCCTTTTCTGTCGTAGAGTAGTTCATTTCTGCTAGTTGTAATGTACGGCTTATATATGCAATGGGATGGCGCTGACCAGGCACACTCGAGCTCTCTTGCATTAACACACATTCAAGACCAATGTCAGAAACATCCACGCGCAAAATAAAAAGTCGAGTGTAGTCAGGATATGCCAAAACCGGAGGAATTGTCAATAACTCTTTGAGATCCCCAAACGCCCGCTCACAACCCGGAGACCAAATGAAAGATGACGTTGATGATTTCAGCAATGTTTGCAATGTTGCAGTGCGATCAGAAAAATGATCCACAAAACGCCCGAGATATTGCACCTTGCCCAAGAAGCGCTGGACATCATTCACACACTTCAGAGTAGGGAACTTCAGAACAGCCACAAGTTTGTCAGGATCAACTTGCAAACCCTCATGAGAAATACAGTACCCAAGATAAGTTGTGTCCTTGGATCCAAACACGCACTTTGACCACTTCAGCTTTAAACCAACATCATGTTGCCGATCTAACACTTTGCAAACATCACGAATGTGCTCCTCCCACGTCCCCTCCGAGTGGATCAAGACATCATCAGTGAAGTCAACAGTCATCTCTAGCATATCGCAAAGAACCTTATCCATTATCCGTTGAAAAGTTGCTAGAGCATTGTTCAAACCAAATGGCATCACCAAGAACTCATACAAACCAAATGGTGTACGAAAAGCAGTCTTAGGAATATCTTCTTCGGCCATCGGTACTTGGCAGTACCCAGAAGCAAGATCTAGCTTGGTGAACCAACGACTTCGCCCCAGACGATCCAAGAGATCAACAGTGTGAGGAAGAGGGTACACATCCAGGATCGATAGTCGATGCAGAAACAAATACTCCCATTAGGCTTCATCACAAGATGAGGTTCACATGCCTAAGGACTCCGTGATTTCTGAATAACACCCTTCTCCAACATCTCCTTGACATTTGCACGTAAAATCTTGATCTCCTTTGGTGACTGATGACGAACAGGAACCTTGATTGGACGAGCATCCCTAGTTGGAATCGGATGATGTGTGGCAATCTTGGCTCCAGACGATATGTCAAAGTCAAAGAGATCAGAATACTCCTTCATAAGCCGGTCAACTGCTGCAACACAAAGATCGTTGAAGGGATGGAAAAGGGAAGAGCAGAACAAGATAGAAATATAGGAGGAAAGAGTGGGGAAACAAAAGTAATGGAAGCAGAGGTAGAAGTAGAGGGACAAAGAGGTACGGAAGTGAGAGGAATGGATGAAATGTAAGGAAGTATAAGACAAGGGGGAGAAACCTCAAAGTCACACTTGGCATGATTGCGCTGCAACCAATTCATACCAAGAATGAGGTAAAAAGCTTGACTTGGCACCACCCGCAATGACTGCAACTCAAGCTTGAGATCGCCCACACGCACAACCAAGTCTGCCTCATCCCGTGCACATGCATGTGTACGGCTGTTGCCATAAAGAATGAAAACTGGTTTTGCCGCACAACACAAGTGTAGACGACAACGTGTGGTAACAGGTCAAGCAATAGAAGATAAACTTGAACCTGTATCAACCAACACAGAGAGAATAATAGGAGACTTCTTATTATAAAGATGAGCTTGGAAAGTAAACACTGGATGAACTGGTGCCGAGTGAACCCTTTGATGATACTCCCGAAAGAAGGATGGAGGGGTCACTGGCTTATTCGTGCAAGGTCCCTCCGTTACTCGCGCGACTCCTCGTTTCCCGGATGCATCTCGGTGTCCAAACCATCCATTGCAGCAGCACCAATGGGATGTTGCTGACGCTAAGGTCTCCACCCAGGAAATGGAGGTCGCCAATCCGGAAAACGCTGACAACGCCGATAAGTATGACCAACTTCATCAGATGCCCAACAGCAAACATCACGGCCACAACCACGTCCTCGCCCTTGAACTTGGACTCGAGTAGCAATAGCATCAACCTCCATTGGAACAGGACCATCACCCACAGGAAGTGGAGCTGAAGGACATGCAACGAAAAGTGGAAGAGGCAATGTCTCATAACGTTGTGCCAAGCGAAGAGCATTGTCAAGGGTGGCGGGAGCAAGTGCATGCACAAGTCCGACAAGATCTTGACGAAGTGCTGGCCACAACATTCCTTGCTTGATCCGCTTCGACATATTTGTGTAAGGAACCGACTCCCCGAGATGTCGTAGGCTAAAGGATCCCCAAAAGCTTGACCGAAATGACAAAGAGTTCATCGGATGGGACCAAGTCGAGGATCGAGTCCAAGACCGACTCTAGGACCGAGTTCGAGATAGAGTCCGGAATCGAGTCCGAGACCGACTCGGGGACCGAGTTCGAGTCCGAGTTCGAGACCGAGTTCGAGACGGAGTCCGAGATCCGAAATCGGGTCCAAGACCGAGTCCGAGGTCGAGTCCGAGGTCGGGTCCGAGATTGGGTCCGAGATCGAGTCCGAAATCGAGTCCGAGACCGAATCCGAAGTCGGATCCGAAATCGGGTCCGAGATCGAGCCAGAGACTAAGTCCAAATACTAATACGGGTCAAGGGGTGAAAGCCCAAAGCGTGCGTCTCCCAGGGGGGGGGGGGGGGGGGGGGGGGGGCTTCAAGGGGGCCCCAAAAAGTTAGTAGGGATAGTGAGGTCCAGGAACCAGTTTTGAAGGGACTCTCCAATTGGGCTTCCAAACCGACTTGAGGTTGAGACTGGGACCGAGGGGCCTTGGGTGGGAGTGAGCATGGACTTGGCTGGTGCCGGAGGGCCATCCAAGGAAGTGCTCAAGAGCAGCTCCCACTCCCGAAAGGGAAACCGACTGCGGTGCTCCCGGCTCAGGTGGAGTGGTGCCCCACTTGAGTACCTTGTGGCTCATTGGTCCTCGCCCTTCCGGGGGCTTGGGCCTTCCCTTCGGGATGGAAGAGGGGGGGTAGAGGTACCC